TTAACAACTATACCATAAGTATAGCTTTAATTTTAACTTCATCTTCAGACCTAAATCTAACGTTAAGTGCACTTTCAATGATGCATTTTTTCTCTATATGTCTTTTTATTCTGCCTTCACTTCTGTATTTAATATTTTTAGAATTTTTCAAATATTTCAAGTTTTTCTTTGTTTAATTTTCAATTCTAACAGTATAATATTTTCACTAGGTTTTAACTTATCTCCTTTAGGGATATTAATGTTAACCTCATTTCTATGTTTCTTTCCAAAATGAATAGTGATTCGATTATTAGTTATAGCCAATCAATTGATAAGTTAAATCTTAACCTTAACATTCTTCATTACTTTACGGATAGCACTAACATAGCATTTATCGTTTACCACGAAGCTAAGATATGCGTTGATTTTAACTTCAACTTCACCGTGAATCTGAGCTTTAACTTCAATCCTATTCCTAATTTGAAACCTACCGTGAATTTAAACAACAATCTTAATCTCTTCAATTCCGACTACAACTTTAACGTTACCCTTAAAATTATTCATAACTTGAACTCTTAACCTAAATTTTAGCAAACAATCTTAATCTCTGAAATCAATACTAATTTAATCAAAACTCTATACTCAAACCTAACCTTTTACGGAGACTATCAGAATTCAAACTTGAGCACATAATAGGGCACACACCAGCAAAGACTGCCTTACTCTACATTCATATCTTTCGTTTTACATGACTTAATATGACATAACAAAAAAAGGAAGGAAAAAAACGTGTATATTAATAAATCGGATTAAATGTATCAACAACAACAATAAAAACAACAAGAAAACAAAGGACAGCATATTTTAAAATATAACATCATCACTTGATGATGTTGCAATATTTTCATTCAATTAATTTTAATGATAAACATAAATTTCATACGATAATTCATATATAAAAATAATAGTGTTGTGGGAGAAAAGAAAAAAACAAAAAGAGTAAAAGCCAATATAATATTAAAAATTATATAAAATTGCATTAAAAAATTGTAAACGATATCAAGTTAACTATTCCTCACTATAAGTTTGATGTTGGCTCGTCCAAAATATTACGTATTCTTTTAAGAGCCTTATGAAGTTTGTAAGGTCAACACAGCATTTTACACCACAACAGAATTTTTATGCCAGATATAAAGATATATATATATATAAATGAAGTTTATTTGCTGTTAATAAGAGGTAAAAGTCTAATTAAAAAAAAAGCCGGAATAAATAAAGGCAATCCGCGAAATTACCTCACAACAGTAATTAACCCTTTCGATCAAAATAAAACAAAGCATTTTAAAAACACTATCGGCCGGCAAGAGCGAACATTCAATATTCTACGCCAATACGCCCAGTGCAGTTTTCACCCTCCATACCTTTCATGAAAGCTCATGTGTCGGCGTGATCCAAATTTAGGGAAGTTCCTAAAGTTACAATAAACCCTACATACGTGGAATCTACAAAATAGATCTATGTAATCCAAATTCCCCACCGATAAATTGTTGCTACTATGGATCAATTTTCATTATAAAATATTAAAAATTATTCTTTTTTCTGAAAGGCTTACTATCCATGGGAAATCTTGTATGAAATAGGGTCTAAGATATTTCTTAGATACAAATTCAATCCACTTAATTTTTATGTTGAGTTACCATCTTGTCAATTTACTGTTATGAACCAATTTCCGCTACGAAGTATTGAAAATTACGTTTTTTTACCTTTCTAAAGATTCAACTTTCGCAGGAACAGTTATACGAGAGGGGGCTGAAAAAATTAGCCCATCCGAATCAAATTCTCCATAGCAATTTAAAATGTCAAAATACGATTACTCAGCAACAAATCTTAAAAATTGTAACTTTATTGTTGTGTTTTGATTTTGTGCCCATCTTTCTAAATAACTCATTAAAATTTCAAGAGATTTTGTGAGATATGAGAGTTGATAAGTCACGGCCATTTCTACATTGACTTTCGAACTAGCCTAACCTTAAAACAAACTTTAAGAGACAATTTCTGTTTACTGCGAATGTTTTTAAATGAGTCAAGCCTATTTTTAACTTGGTTTTGTGGGATCAACTAGGAGTGTAAAGAAGGACTTCAAAATTCCGAATTCTATCACCCTCTTTATGGGCGCTTGAGCGATAGACAACAAAGGACTAGACGAATGGACGAACGGTAGTAAATCGATACTTATTTTACTTTTATGTTATATATGGGAATTTATAAATTGTACATGTGCCGTAATGCCTATATAAGGGTATATGTCATGTATAGGACATATTATTATTTCAACGTTTGCTACTGCGGTCGTACATGACCAGACTGAAAACGTTATACTAAATCAAACTTGCCTTCACGGCAAATATATATTCTTTTTGGGGGATCTGTAATGCTCGCTTCTAAACGTTTCAAACAAAAAGATAACCATATTATTTGTCTATCGTTCGCTGCTGGATACAAAAATTCTTTCAAGTGCAACGATTTCCATCATTTTTTTTCAAAATTCAAATTCTATGGCTCCCTGTGTTCGCTAACTGTGATACAAACTCATATTTTATTTATATTTTTTAAGCCTTTAGTTCTTTTGTTCGCTTCACTTACACGGGAAATAAAAGCAATTTTTATTTGAACTTCATCGCATCAAATCTATTAAAATCCTTACATAAAACACTTTTATAACTGATAAGTTCTCAAAAATTCAGCTATGGGACAATTGAAATCACTTTCACTTTGAATAAGTGTAGGCTGATTCCTGTACCATTTTATTTTTCTTTAGGCATAAGCAAAAGAACTGAATGCAGGTTTCCATATTCTTTCTGACATTCGGAAGGAATTGTTCATTTGCAATCATATTCATTGAATCAGAATAATTTTCTAAATCGGTCTAAGCCTGTTTGTCCGTCTGCCTGTCAGTCTGTCTGTTATCTGTCCATCTAAATATATGTTCTAGTTGCGGTTCGCTACTGAAAATGATTCGGATGTTTTTCGACAATACAACAATGGCAATATATGGGGAAAAGTGACTATGTAATAATATTTCGGCATTCCAAATTAGTTCGAAAACTTTGGACTGGCTAGGAATCCGCCCTCACATAAGCCTTCCTTCGGAAGTGAAAGCTTTATATGGTAATAAGGTCAATTTTCCAACATTTCATGGTGAAAATTAGCTCATAATAGTAAATGGACGAAAAAATCTACCTTACCGACTTTGAACCACGTAAGTCTAATATGTTGATACCACCGTATGTAAGGATTCTCATGAGAGGTAAATCCTTAAATGCCAAAAAAGCCTAATTTTTTTTGGATGAAAATTTGTTTATGATAGTGATTAGATAAAAAAAATTAAGTGGACCTAATTTGAAACACATTGTTCTATTTCTTGGTCCAACTCTATAAAAGATATCCTGGGAGTAGTAAGTCCTTCGGAAAAATACTAATATTTTATGATGAAAATAATCCACAGCAACTTTTCAGCAAACACATTAACTGCAGTGAAGTTGGATTACATAGGTTTATTTTTAGACATATTATGCTATGAAGAAACCCAAACTCTCATACGGGGGAAAATCTAACCTTCCTATAACCTTCCTATAACGTTCCTATAAGCGAGCTTTCATGACAATTCTGGCCATGTGTTTCTGGAGAACAATGTGTACTAGGCGAAGTAATATAGGGTATGTAATAGGCGGCGTTGCGCAATTACAATGTTGTGAATTGTTTTTTTTTTTTTAGAAATTTTTGTCACAAAAAACTTAGTAAAATTGTCACGGATAATAAAGATTTTTCTAATAATACTGTTTGTACTGATACGTATTTTTTTATACCCACCACTGTAGGATACTCATTTTGTCTTTTCCCACAATATATCTAACATCGAAAAGGAAACTTTAGAGACCCTATGAAGTACAGATATTCTTGATCAACGTGAAATTTTGAATTGATTGATAGTCATCTCTGTCCGTCTGTGTGCTTCTATGCCTGTGTGGTGTGTGTTGTTGGTACTCTCCTGGTCGCGAAAATGAAGACATCAATTTCAAATGTGGTAGACAAATTGGAAGTTTTTGCATGCAGGTTGGCATTGAAAATGGGCCAATTTGCTCAGAGGAATGGAGCATAAACTGAACGCAACTCTGTTTTTTTTAACAAAAACTTTTGGCTTTTCGCTCGTTACTCAGAAACTGTTAAGGTTAGAACCTTGAAATTTTCCACATTTACTTTACAAAACAGTGTATTCTTTAGGTTCGAAAATGGAACCAACCAGCCATGCCCACACCTATTTGAGGTTTTATGCTCATTTATCATAAGGTAAACAAGACCGAATGTTGAAAATTAATTTGTACACTCCTTAAATGAAGATTTACTGTCTGCCTAAAAATGGGTTCATTTTAAAATGAATATGTAAAGACACAGCGATTACTTTTTCTTAATAATGCTATTGATATGCATATCAAATAAAAGAACTTGGAGAGTAGAATTCGAAAACCATAGTGGTGGGTATGCGAGATTCGGCACCCGGCGAAGATAACTTTCTTACTTGTCACTATTTTTTTTTTTTTTTTTCATTATATTGAGATTTGAAGCAGCGACCACAAACTTGTCGCGATTCTTACGCTACTCCCGCGGATCAGCCCAAAAAACATGCACATAACCAAAAACAAAAGTGAAACTTCTTTAGCAATCGATTCCAAGTAAAAATTTGTGGTATTTTAAATTTTGCGACGCTTTCGAGAAGGGGTGCTGGTGTAACTGGCGTAACCATAATTGACGAAATCCGTTTTGTCCAATTCCCGGAAACATTATGTCGCAATTTTTTTCCACGAATATGATTCCAATTATTACATTAACGCAGTGTGATGAGCTTACATTCTTCTTTCGTAATTAAATTTCAATAATTGAATTATTAATAATTATCATTATTAGTCGATTATACGATACTTTACATAAAAACATTAACTGCATATCAATTCTACTCTACTCACTTCTGTTTCCTGTTTGTGTTTATCCGCTGTTTTCTTTTTTTTATTTAAACGTTTTTTCAAACGTTTTTTATCCTGCACAACCACAGAGTCTTTGCAAAATTTTTCCATAATTTTTATGAAAATATTTGCTGTTTCAACAACATCCCGTAAAAATGCTCTAGAATGATAAAAACGAAAAACAAAAAGGGAAAATATACCACAAATATTCATAAATATTCAAAATAAAGGCAATAAAATAAAATAAATAAAAAAAAAATAAATAATAAAAATAGAGATGCGTATTCATGAGCAATAAAATCAAAAGTAAAAAAAATTGCAGAATAAAATTTAATTAATTATAATAATGCATTCTTTTGCATTGTTTGCAATGATAAAAATTTATTTGTTTTATTTGCCTTTTGTTAGGTAAATTTTAGAATTGTTAAACAAACCTTAAATAAAAAAAAAATTTTTTTTTTGTAGGTACAAATTCAATAAAATTAAATACGGAACTGAACGCAACTTACACTGTAATAATATGTTTTTCTAATCATTGATTTACGGTTTGTTTGTTTTTTTTCATTCAACACTCAGGGGATACATTAATTTTATGTGAGTGCTTGTAATACATAAACTTACATTACACGTATGTCTGATAATTTAAATCTTCTATATTGCAAAATATGAATACTTTAAATAGATGAGCAAAATCTATTAGCGGCCTGCTTAATATTATGCTGGTAGATGCAGCTTACAAATATCGAAATTTGTTAAAGTTAAGCTTGATTACCGATCGGCTGGACCGTATGCTGCGGATAGATTGCATAGAAAAAGTTATTTCTTTCTTGCAGCGATTTTTGGTTTATTTATTTACCTACGCATCAAGCCCAGCTAAAATAAATTGACAGTCGAATTCAATTAAAACCTAATGCAAAGTATATAAGCATAGGAAGTAACGATAACAAAAAAAATAATAATAATAATTCATGTACAAATAAATAAGAAATAAAATATAAAAAAAATTGTGTACACAACCAGGTCCACGTTGCAAGTGAACCTCTAAGCCACTGGAAACATTCAAAGCCTTGGCAAACGGTAGACAAACTTAGTTAATTTTCGAATCACAGTGAGATGTTAAGATTGCAAGTTAATTTAAATACGGCCTGAGCAAAGTGGACTTTAAAGTGTTCGATATTGAATGGTGGACATCATTTAGGGTTCTGCAAAGAACTCTGAATGTGCTAAACAGCCCATAATTATGTTTACATTGACTAGGCTTAATGAAAACATAGGGCCTCGAGAAGAGAGATTAGCACCATTTATTGTCTTATTATTATTATTATTATTAATTTCGCCAGAGAAATAAATTCTAACACTAAACTCTTAAAAGCACTAGCATCTAAGGCTATCGGCCTTTATTAAAAACTCTACTGCACTTGAGATTCGAATCCACGACCACTGAGTTGCTAGTCGAGACTCTTGCCTACTCGGCCACCCAGGAAACGCAGATTGTAAATCTAGGCTTCTCAAGTGATAATAACAGAAGCACCATATCTTCATAAGGAGGCAGAGAGACAAAAGGGTCTCAAACCAAATTCCTACAAGCAAATAGCAAGCATAGCCGTTGAATCTACATAGCACTTATGGGAAAGAGACCACACAACAGAGGCGTACTCAAGTCTTGGTCTAACTAAGAACATGTCTAGTGTTTTTTTAATGTAAGGATCCATAAGCTTTTTGGACCACTTCTTAATGAAATCCAGCGCGGATCTAGCTTTACTTAAAGAAAGCTCAATGTACAAACTAAAACGTAATCTTTGGTCGAATAGAACTCTTAAATGGATGAATGCATGTACGTTTCCCAACCTGTGTGAAGTCAATCGGCACTGAGCATTCAGCTTGAGAAAGAATTCTTCTTGCATTGTTTGAAAAGGTGACTTTATAAAATTTAACGAACTACATTTTTATGTAAGTCAATTTGAAGTTGATACAATTGCGATTCGAAGGAGAAGGAAGAAATGAGTTTAACATAGTCAGCGTACCTTAAAATGTGGCTGTGGTCGAAGTAGGGAAATTAAAAGCTCTTAACGTCAGATGATTTAATTTATTATCGCCATGCTGCATAGTGTTGATTAGCAAGATTGGCCCTTTTGTCACCGTTTGAATGAATACAAATTTTGACAATATACGTTTAGTCTTCCCGACCAGTCAATACGTCTAATACAGTCAATTATTCATTTTGGTAATACGACAAAAATTATACATAATTTTCATGCAAAGACATGCATGAAGGAAGGATGCCCATGACATGGATCAAATTTGGCAAACCTAATTTACTTCCTAAAAACTTTATTATTTTTCAGTTCCCGTCAGTAGAACTTAAAAATTAGACTTTCCCTTCATATAAAGCTTGTTTTTAACGATAATCTTTATTAAGTTTAAGGTCTTAAAAATAGATCTATCTACCCCAAATTCTCTACCGTTAATTGTTTTTGCTAAATTCCTGCTATAGATCAATTTTCATTATAAAATTTTAAAAATTAGTCTTTTTCTGGAAGGTTTATTATTCATGAGAAATCCAAGAAATAGGGTTTATACGGTTAAAATTCGGTCCGCTTAATTTTTATATCAAATTACTATTATGAATAAATTTTCATTAACATTTAGGCCTGTTTCGCATATAAGGGTTTACATTTCCTTCCTTCCTTGCACAGATTCGTTAAAGTTGATTCCTCCGCCAATTTACTATTGTGAAGCAATTTTCACCATGAAATGGTGAAAATTACATGTTTCTACCTGATAAAGGTTAAATTTCCGTGGGACCGAGGTCCTGCTAATCAGCGAGTTTTGATAAAAAATTTTGAAAATTCCGGCTTTTTTTCATATAACAACTTTTCGAAATAAGGCTTACAATTGGGGTTCTATGACATCGTTACGGATATCCCAAATCCAGTTCATTCAAACTAATTGATTTTCCCAAAAAAAAAAAAAAAAATGCCTAGAATGGAAGTGCACATTTGCGGCGCGCCATGCAGCTGCCGGCCGAGGAAAACGATTAGCAGAAAAGCAGATTAACGGATTAAAAATAAAGCCATGAACTTTATAAAATGACAATTTCAAATATCGTAGAGTTACTACACACCGGTCGTAGGCTTAACGCTAAGGAAGCACTAAATATAGGTCTTGCCAATTGTATGGTGGCCACAGGCACCAATGTAGAACTTAATTTGTGGATACAATCACAATGTAGAACTTAAGGTTTTGTGCTTTTCATTTTCGTCTCCTTCAATGACTTAAGGCGTTATGAGGAGTAGTCGAAAAGATGAACTGATCCGAATCATTTTCAATTGAACACAACAACACATGGACAGGCAGACAGACAGACAAGCTTCGAATCCTGCTCTTCATCGATCCGTATAATAAGAGACTGGCATATCTTAAGCCCTTTTGGATATTACGTAAGTCCACAGCAATTTAATACACCCTGCAAGATATAGGGTACAAAACTATTAAATAATTAAGGACATTTTAAACATTTTCGCCGAAAAGAGTTATTATGAAATCTGAAGTAGAAATGGCACTGTCATTAAGTAAATAAATAAATGAAAATCCCCAATGTTAGACGAGGAAGGTTTGGCTGAAAACAATTTTGAGGGGAAAGTAGTGGCAAATAGTCTCTATTGAATTGAATATCACTTTACGCTGAGGATCTTCAATTTTAAAATTTTATAATTTTTTACTTTAACTCAGCATTAATTCAGCTTACATTCAGTAATTTATTGCATGCTACATCGCTTATGGTGACATCATATCAAATCTTTCTTTATGCAACACTCAGGAAGACTTGATATAAGTCAAGCTTTTAATAAACCGATCGATATCAATCGATTCAGAATCATTTTCCAAATTTAAACGTATCTATCCGGGGGTTAGTCTCATGTATTCTTGTGGAGATATTGCGACGATACGGTTTTGCCAAAACAGCAAACGTTAATGAAAAAAGATTGAATCACATAACATTTAAGACCACTTCCCATATAAAAAACTATTTTCAAAAATGTGAAAAATTCAAACAGGACGAAACAATTTTTTTAACTTGTAGCGATATCCAGCATGCCGCCGAATAGATTGTATAGGTGAACGATCTTAATGAATATCTTTTGAAAATTTAGGACTTAACTTTATTTATGTGTCACTTAAAGGTGAAATGAAAAAGATTTGGTACCGATTTCTACAGAGCTTTCGCGACATGATGGACAGACTCAGTGTCTATTGTTATATAATATTAAAACAAAACTTCCTAAATTATTTCTAATTACTTTTCAAACGGGTATTAAGCATTGCGCATGTATTTGATTAAATTATTCATTGGGCTGCGTAACTAATTAGCTTAAATTAATTTCGCAATAAGCAAAAAGCTGAGTATACGTTAATCGACGCAGAACACATGCATACGCATGCTTTTTGCGCTTGCAGTCATAGCATTAGTGGTTTGCATATATAACCGGCCCACATTTTCCTTTTTTTTTAACGTTTACTAAAAAGCTTCATAAAATATATTTTCATTTTTCTTTATATCAACTAGGTTTGCGCTGAGCAATAAGAAAACTTGAATAAGATTGTCTGCCCACCTATTTTTTAACAGTGTGAACTAGGAAATACTAGCCGCAGGATACATTGCAAAAAACGAGGTCAACACCTGTGACTTTTTATGCTGATTGCTTGTATGGCAATATAGAAATAAAGAAAAAAATTAATAATGTACTTATATTAAGGTATTTAAAGACTAATGAAGAACTCTCCTCAATCAATACTTTAAAGCCACACATATTCACTTTTCAATTGTGTTTTTTTCTAACAACATTGCTAGCAACAAACCTAAGCCAACTTTAATTTGATTTACCGTTTCACACACAAAGTAGCAATTAAAGAAGTCAAAGTCACAACGTAAGCGTACCTATCCACGAATTGATAAGTGATATCACATACCAGTATGTAAGAAGACGGTCGAAATCGAAAATAACCTCACTTTTTTGTAGCATATGCCTCGAGATACAAAAGAAGGCACGCGATTTCATCTATGTAGTTCGAAAAAAATTGTATTTGCATTTTGGCGGTAAGGCTTATTGGGAACTTGGTTGCTATGCTAGTTTCTCTTGAGAGTGAACTCATATAAAT